TTATATCTTCTAGACAGTTTCCCGTTTATTAGATTTTCCTGCATGACCAAATAGTAGTTAGCCTCTTCTTCCACAGAAGCTTTAACAAAAAAGTGATCACTGAGGCTGCAACAGGAGAACGTTTTGCCATTATCACACTACAGGAAGAATGATCTATTCTGCTCAGGTTCTTCTACTGAGCATTTATTGTCTCATGACTAGTTTCAAAATAATACTGTTAATCTTGGTAGGCCAATAAAATCTTATGTGGATGAGGCTGAAGCAAATGCTCATAAAACTCCATAGCTGGCCACAGATCCCACTTCTTAAGCTATTCTGTACTCTAACCAACATGATCGGTGAAGGACTTCCAGAATAATCATCTTGCTTACATAAGCAATGGTGTTTTTCTTATTTCTTGGCCCAATTTGAACAAAATAAAACAAATAATGATCAGTTATAATATTTTCATGTGGGGAACTTAACTGCTGCATTTTTCTTAAATGCATGCAGAAAAGAATGTCATCAGGAAATCTGAGGAAGTTCACTGCACAAATGTTAAAGCAAGAGAGACTGAAGCTGTGAGCTGTCAAAAATGTATATGGTACAATTTCTTGCTGCTCCCTGTCACTCAAGGTGAATTGCAGCAACCACCAGTGCACCAAAGCTATAGATCATACGTCACACAGAGATAAAAAATACCAGAACATTTAAAACAAAACAAAAATGTTAAAGGAACAGTCAATTCAACAATTAATCAATTAAAAGCTAAATGAATTAGAAAAGTAAAGTAGTTTCAGTGACTACATTTGCCCTGGTCCTCTCTACCAGACTCTCTAGTTTTACAGTTCCATTTTTTTTTAAATGTTTCTCTTTCACCTATTGCTATATCCAAACCCCACAAACAAAAGGGGAAAACTGATTATCTGACTATATGTCAGAAATAGTAAAACTGATCATATATAAAATGCTGCCAAAATGCTGAAACTAAACATGTGACAGATATTGCAACCACGTGCAATATCTTCGGGGACCACATTGCATTAAGTTTATGCATCACTATAGGCCATGGATTATTGCAACTCCAGGGGAGTTCCTCCAGGAACAAAAACTGTTGGGGGTGACTAAGGCGAATCACTGAGGTTGTAAACACCTCCAGAGTGGTACCACCCCCCCGAGGAAGTCTGCATATACTGGTTCAGACTCGGTTTTCCAGAAACCGCCCAGACAAAGAAAGGGCTTTTGCCATAAAAAGACTGAGTTTAAACTGGCACAAAGTCTTCCTGTAAATGCAATAAACTGACAGGACCTTGGGTCCTAGGGGGACCCCAAACCTTGCTGAAGGTTTGGAAAGACTAACACAGACCAGAGCCCTATGCTGAATTTGGGGGTGACCTCTGAGAAGCATTTAGTAAGCATGTAGGAACTTTTGTTTTCTATACGTTTTCTCTTTAACCTTATGACTAAACGTATTTTGTTTTGTGAAGACTGGTTGGTAACTGGTGTACACTGTTGTATTCCCGGAGAAAGATTTAACCCCAGGCACTGGGCTCTGGTCAGACCTGCTGGGGAAATCACAGACAGGTGCAGAGGAACTGTAAGCCTAAACCCCTGGTCCAGAATGAATTGAAACTGGTTTCTGCCACAGAGGTGATGGCCAGGAGCCAGAAACCTTAAGTGGATGCCCTCGAGGAAGACCACAGGGAGAGTCAAGGGTACAATTAACCCTGAAACAGACACACTAAAAAAAAAAAATATGAAAAAAACTACGGGTCATTTTCCCCCCAAGCTCTTTAGTAACCTTAGGCAATACTTGTATCTGTGCATTTTAAATGTTATAACCTCCACATTGTTTTACAATTGCCTGAAATAGTTTTAAGTGCCCACATCTTTAATTCAGTCCCCAAATCAGGTAACAAAACTTCTTCATATAGACTATCAACTATTCTCAGATGAACCCTGGAGTTATGCTCCACATGAACTGAATTGCCTGGGATAGATCACTAGGACTTTAAAAAAATATTGTTTAGACAGACTTATTCCAACTACAGATATTTGAGTTTTTGTATTTTACCAGTTGTTAAATTAAAATATTAGCTACTCTTTAGGGAAGCATTATACTCAAAGTCAGGAAGCCTGGAGTTTCATCTCAGCTATGCCACTAATACACTAGGTCTCCTTGTGTACGTGACATGGCTTCTCTATGCCTTGGTTTCCTCAAGTATAAAATGGAGATACTATCCCACAAAGCTATTGTGAGGTACAGCATTTTAAACATGTAAAGTACAGAGATATATATTAACTATCTTGATCAAAGTAAACAAAGGCCATGTCACCAAGATCATATGAAGAATAAGACAGCATTACACACACAAAAAATACTAAAAACAAAACACAAAAAACCCCTATGTAATAATTAAAATGATCTACTAGTGCCTGAGTTTGTTATTCAGGAGAAGGAAAGGACAACTGCATCTCAGTCTACACTAGACTTTCCCTCCCCGCACCTCAACATCTCATGCCATTGGTAATAATGGTGCAGCTCTACCAGTGACAGCACTAGAGACAACTAACTGCAAACAGACCATGGACATAAATGACACAGTTAAAATACCAGTAGCTACCCTACACTAGCATTATATTACATAATATAATAGCTATGGAAGAAAGGCTGCATTGCCAGTGCCAACGCTGCTCTTGTCTCCTCCACCTGCATCCAGACAAAGAACCTAACCCTGGATGCCTCTACCCAGATCCTGGTGTGGATTTGCAAAGACTGTGGCCTCCATTTCCGACTCACAAAAAGCCAGGCTGCAGGGACCATCCAGTGTGAAAGGTGCCTCCTGGTGGGAGAGTTACAGGAGGAGGAGGCCAGGCTGAGTAATTCATTGAGAGTATTCATATTGAGACAAAGGACATCCAAGGCTGAGGAAGCTATCCAGCTAGAGAGGACTGCTGTCATGCCACCAGGGGGAGGATGGTATGGCTCTGTCACAAGGAGGACACTGGCTGATGGTTACTTCTGGCATCAGGCAGTGTTCCACCCCTAAACCTAACTCACCTACCATTATGCTTTGTTCAAATACTTTATCCGAAACTTTAAAAAGAGTCCTACAAAAAGTGGAAACTAGGTCAAATTATAAAGGATGAATATAAACAAACAACACAAATATGTAGGGACAAAATTAGAAAGGCCAAGACACAAAATGAAATTAAACTAGAGACAAAGGGTAACAGGAAAACATTCTACTAATATATTAGAAGTAAGAGGAAGACCAAGAACAGGGGAGGCCCATCACTCAATGGGGGGGGGAAATAACAGAAAATGTTGAAATGGCAGAAGTGCTAAATGACTTTTTTGTTTCAGTTTTCACCAAAAAAAGTTTAATAGAAACTGGACATCTAACTTAATGAATACCAGTGAAAATGAGGTAGAATCAGAGGCTAAAACAGGGAAAGAACAAGTTGAAAACATCTCACTTGTCTAAGTAATTTTTAAGTCACCGGGGCCTGATGAAATATATTCTAGTATACTCAAGGAGCTGACTGAGGAGATATCTGAACTATTAGCGATCATCTTCAAAAAGTCATGGAAAACAGGGTGAGATTCCAGAGAACTGGAAAAGGGCAAATATAGTGCCAATCTATAAAAAGGGGAATAGTATCCAGAAATATAATGGAGTAAATAATTAAGCAATCAATTTGCAGACATCCGAAAGATAAGAAGTTGGTAAGTAACTATCAGCATGGATTTGTCAAGAACAAATTGTGTCAAACCAACCTAACAGCTTTCTTTGAAATGGTAACAAGCCTTGTGGAGAGGGGGAAGCAGCAGATATGGTATACCTTGACTTTAGTAAGGGTTTTGATACTGTCTTCCATGACCTTCTTATAAACAAATTAGGGAAATACAACCTAGATGGAACTCCTATAAGGAGGATGTAGAACTGGTTGGAAAACCTTTCCCAGAGAATAGTTATCAGTTGTTCACTATCAAACTGGAAGGGAATGTCAAGTGGGCTTCCGCAGGGATCAGTTCTGGATCCAGTTCTGTTCAATATCTTCATCAATGATTTAAATAATGGCATAAAGGGTACACTTATAAATTTGTGGACGATGAAACCGTTCCCAGCTTGGTATGTACTTTGGAGGATAGTATTAAAATTCAAAATGATCTCGACAAAGTTGAGAAATGGTCTGAAGTAAACAGAATGAAATGTAATAAGGACAAATGCAAAGTACTCCACTTAGGAAGGAACATTCAGTTGCACAGAGACATCCCACTGGAGTTCTGTGGAGTTTCATGGCAGCATGCAGGCCTAGATTATCAAACTGCATTTAGTACATTTGCACAGGGCTCCCACCTTGGGGTGTTGGAGGAAGGGAGGCAGAAACACACAAAAGAACGTAGGGCCAATAAGAGCCCTGTCTGCACACTGTGGGCTCATTCTCCAACACACACACTCCAGGGCCTCGGAGTCTGAGGGTAGGACCCAACCCCTCTCCCCAGAAGCAGGGAAGATGTCCCCCCAATTGCCATTGTACATGGGGCCCCAAACATTTCTTAATCTGGCATTGCCAGAATGGTATACTGTTGGTTTTCCAGTGAAGCTACCATCGGACTTGCAGGAGACCAGGTATGATCTCATGATTGAAATGCAGAAAGCCATGTATACCTTCCTACAAAAAAGAGAAGAGGGTTGGTGTAGCTATTATTTTCACCAGTTTACAGTACAGCAACATAGCAGACACTACCATTATGCCCTCAAATCTTGAGGAAGACCATTTTATGGGAAAGGGGAAATAATTGTTTCCATTATATTTTGTATATCCAGTCATGAACATGTATGAACCCAAACACTAAATTTAGTTGCCCACATTTAAGATGATAATTTTAGTCACTTGATCACGGGGAGAAAAAGTTCTCTCTAAGAGGAGAATTTTCCTAGATTGTTAGGTATCATAAACCATTGATAATTTAAAATTTTCATGATAACTACAGTATATATTCTGCAACTTACATCAAACGTGGGCGTGCTCTGCTGCGCACTCTGATTACATGGTTCTCTGAAGCAATCGCTGAAAGGAAGTAGGAGCCCCATCGCAATGATCCTAGAACATAGCTTTTCTGCTTCTTCCTGTGGGGCATTCTCCTGCTGGCTGAACAGTTTTTCCAGAAGAGTTCGCCCTGCAAAGATTATATAATAGACCAATGATAATTTGTAAGCATCTTTGTAGAATAAAAAACTTAGGACATTTTATCTAACTCCTCAAATAAAGAGCTTGACAAGTACAGACACCAAAAACATCAATTTCTCAGTATATCCTACAAGTCAGCAGATCAACCTTCAAGTAAAAATAAATCTCTATGCGCTAGTTTAAGAATTATACAAATTAAAGTTTCAGTACTACTTATTGTTCACAGGGCTTCAAAGAGAAAATATACATCAAGTTGGCTTAAGTGGCCTAGCCATTGTACTAAACAAACAAGAGTCCTGAATTTCCATTCTAGAATCAGTCTCCTGCTATCAGAAAAATAATTAAATTCTACTTTATACTTATACAGTTTTTTTTAAATCACAGGCCCTCAAAAGTCAAGCATACATTTCACCATTTTCCATATGGGGAACATGAGGTACAACAGAATTAAATAACTTGTTCAAGGTCACATAGCGAGCTGGCACAGAGTCAAGCATAGAACCAAAGTCTTCCAACTCCTAGCTTTAGAACTATACAACAGGGGATACTAGTATTCTAGAGTTGCTGCTCTACTTCTCAGGAGAGAGTCTCATGTCATTTGAGAGAAAAAAAAAAACAATTACTGGCCATTTAAGAGTGACATTTATGGAGCTCCAAAGGTTGCTCCAGGCCAGAAGAGAATCATTTTAACACAGGCCTTTGTACATAGAGGCACAGGTTCAATGGAGGTTGCCTCGTATAGGACTAAACCCTGGATTTTGTACCCCAAATATTCTCTCCACCAATAAAATATGGAAGGCCCTGATCTTGCACAGGTTGTTCTTGCAAAGTACATAACAGATGACAATACTGTCAGGTCCGAAGAAGCTAGTGCTGTACAAGTCTAGCCAAACAGAGAATAAAAAAACAAAAACAAAAAAACAGATTAGTTACACACTCACATGTAATGCAGAAATATAGACTAAAAAGACTACTAAAAGTTGCATGGTTAACCATTTAAAAACAGACAAATCAGGAAACGCCAAAGTTAAGGTTGTTCCTGTTTACAAGAAATAGATGGAACAAGTGCAGGAGAAGAGAGAAGAGGAAACACGGGAGCAATGAAATTAGTAGAAAGTTTTAGCACGGACTAGCTGCATATAGAATTTGTGGCCAAAACAGTAACAATCATCACAATCCAACAAAGCCATCAAAGCATTTTTCAGAGTTTTACTGAAACAAATTATTTGGAATTACAGGGCATTTTGCTTTTCATTAAATGTGGTTTTCACATTACAATGCAAGAAATTTCAAACATTTCTATGTAAAGAATGATTTTAAACAAAATGAAATTTTCACAGGCCGTATTGCAAAATGTATCCAGTTTTCTGAAGCATGTATTTTGTTCAGACATATTGAAATACTGAGGCTTTCCAATTTCACTGGGGAGATTTTACAGATAGGGTAATACCTGATTCTAGGATTGTACACTAACATCAGGTGGTTTAATGTCATGAAAGAAAAAAGAAAAGAAAATAAATCTAGGATTTGATGTTCACTTTTCAAATCTAAAAGATTTGATAGTTTTGAAGGCCATTTCTCTTCATTGTGTCAATTAATATTCTCTTTGATTCCTTATCTTTCACTACAATACTATATGGTCTAATGGATTCAGATACTTGGCTGGCAAGAAACCTCAGTTCTGGTATGTTCTATACAACTGACTTGCTTTCTGACCTCAGACAAGTTGTCCAACTTCTGTCCACTATTTTCACCATCTGTATAATGGTGATAATGCATCTTGCTTAGCACCCCTTTAACACCCTCCATTTTAGTGTTTATGTAAAATGTAGCTTGTTCTGACAACACCACCTCTGTTTATATTTAATAAATATAGGTAACTGTCCTTCTCAATAGGAAATATATTCTTTGCGTTTAGTACACCTAGAATATTGGTTTGAAATTAATCTTCCCTTTTGTACAGTGTGATTGGTATACAACAGAAGTTGCCTTGAAACAAAGCAAATCCTTGGGCCTACAGCTTCAAAGCACAACTAAGGAGTTATGACAGCCAAGTTTTTGTTAGGTCTTTGCCTCTCTCTTCAGAGCAGCAACCACTGCCTCCAATCAAGCTGTAAAATAAAAAATAGTATTCCTTTAAAGCAGATCAACGTTCTTATTAGAAGAAAAGTCAGCCACCACCAAATCCTGCCAGGACAATTAAATGGCATGATAAGCAGCAAATGATCAGTTTTCATATTAATGCACAGTAAGTCTGAGAAAAGAGATTTCTAAGATGATTTTAATTGGGTTTGTGAAATAATAGCCAACAGCAATGCATGCTTCCCTATAGTGGGACAAATTGCTAAAAGCAACCGGTGATTTTTGAGTGCCCAAATTAAGAGGGGCCTGAATCTGAAAGTCAGGCCCCTTTAAAGCGTCAACTTGGAAACCCAAAAATCGCCAGTTATTCTGGAAGATTTGGGCAACTATGCCTTAAACCAATCAGAGGAACTCCCCCTAGTGCTAAGGAAGTAAGTGTGACATCCCTGCTTGATGATTCTCTGGTCTTTGAAACAGCACCGTTGTTGGCAGTCTTAGCAAAGGACTTTAACCTTAAATATTTGTTCAGTGAAACAGCATACTTAGCCAAAGATTTCATTCCCATTTACTCAATTTAAACAAATATAGTATTCATTGGTAAATTACTCACCACTTTAAAAAAAACCTCTCATTTAAACATTAAACCATATTATAGGCTTCAGACAATATACACATTTTTAAACAGTTTGATTAATTAAATGGGTTTCTGTATTCAAAAATAACATCATGCATTTCTCATCATGCTCTCTATCTGTATTGGATGTGTTCTCTCCAATTTATGATGATTATTTGAACACATTAGGTAACAAAGACATGTTTTTCAATACCAGTTATCAAAAGAGCAGAATATTTTTAGATTAACATCTGTTATCTAAACAAAAATGCTATTATGGGAAAAAACCCTTCAACTCATCTCTGCAGCAAACTTAAGTAGCACTAAACCATCCCCCCCTTAAACATTGCATCTATTGATGTCTTGACTCAAGATGCTAATAAGGATTACCACCATGAAGAAGGCATTATCTTTAAACAAATCTGTGTTCTAATACTGCATATGTCCCTTGAAATTACTGCACAAAACACACACATGAAAATCTGAAGTAAAAATACATTGTCAGTTTAGATTATACATGTTTTACCGAATGCAAGCTTAAATGACCTCAATTGTCTATGAATATGGAAACAGCTTCATGCTGAACTGCTGTGAACAACTCTCTCTATTAACACTAAATGGGTTAAATATTTTAACACACTTACTGGGTCATGTTTAAAATGAGCTGTTAAGCTATTTAAATTTTCTGTATATGAAATAGCTAGTTCAGAAGGAACAATCTGAGGGGCTAAGATTATTACCCACTTGAATGGTCAGAAAGGGTTAGCCACATTGATTCCCCTCAAAGCCAGACCCAAAAAACGCAACACAATAGTCTCGTAAGGAGGAGGGGGAAAAAGAGAAATCTCTTTCACTACCTCAAATCACTATTCTTTTTGCTGAAACTGACTACAGTCAGAGATGTAGAATCTAAGATTTGAAGCCCTTCGTGGTACAGTGGTTTCAGATAGGGATGAAGAGACTGTGAATATGGGGGGTGGGGAGACAGCAATTAAAAGCTCCACCCTGTGGGTAGAACAGAAGGTTTAAAAAAAGAAAAAGAAAAAAAAAAGAGACCGACCTGTTTACCCTTATTCAGGGCAGCTTCAGCCTCATTTCCAGCTACTTTCAAGTACAAACAGATGCTGTCGCTAGAACTGAAGCTTCCCATTTCCACAGACAGACATCAGTAGTGGATTGGGGATGCTGACCCTATTAAGAACCCAATGGTGTCCTTTATTCTTTTTCAGCTCTTTGAAGTGATTCAAACTGACACTAAGAAAAGCAGAACACACAGACCGCAAAACCATACATTTAAGAAGAAATTAGAAACAGACTTTGTAACATTATAAAAATGCACTAATTTCTTAAATACTAAGGGTGAAATCTGGATGGCCTCATATCTCTTCCTACCTCCGCCCCCAACCCCCAAGAAAAAAAACGCTTATTTGTTACTTTTAAAACTTCAGTTCTTCCCTTTACTTTTGTTGCTGGAGAACTTTGGAAGACCCGAGTCATAAAAATGTAGGACTGGAAGGGACTTCAATAGGTCTTCTAGGCCAGTTCCCTGCACTGAGACAGGACTAAGTTCACTTTTTTTTGTTTTTTGGGGGG